GTTTAAAAGCCCGGTTTCCAAAATGTGGCGTAGAGGTTTGGTACATGACTTGAGGGCCCCGCGCTTTGCTGAGAGTCAGCGCACCCTTGAAGGGCAGTTTAGCTAAATCAGCAAATTCAAGGGTGTTAGCGTTTATTATATTGCTATCTTTTAGTTTGAGCTGCTTATCACTTCAGTAAACCTAAGCTCTATACAGTACTCCATACCTTGTAGCCAAAATTTTCTTAAATCCTGAGGCCGTATAGGCAGACCCCAGGATGCTGAACCGATCCAGGCTTTAGGTTAGTTCGGCTTCCCGCTTCCCCGCCGAAGGCTACCTGGGTCGTCAGGGTTTGGGGCGTTTCTGATCTGGCCCTACCTAGTAGTCGAGTAGGTAACCTATAACCTTTTTATAATCCCTATATAACCAGAAAGGTTATATAACCTTTAGTTCCCCATGATACCCGACAAGTAGGCCTAACCTCTAAACCACACCCAGAGCCAAACCATAAACCCTGAACCGATCACATCCCCTTGCAGCCCAGAGGCTCCTAAGTAGCTTTATATGGTAGGGTAGGGTTGCAAAAATAGGCTTTACCATTGTGGTTTGGATAAGTCTCCCCCGATACGGATGCTTTTGCGGCCCTTCTTCGTGTCACGGCCTGGCACCGTTTAGCCGCAGTCCATGGAGGCATTGCCTGAGGCTGCAGAGAGATCAAGTAGGCTCTGGCAGTGTAAGATAGGGATGCAGAAACGAAGGAGACTAAAGAGAAAATACTATTCCTTAGGGCTCCTTAACATACTTTAACATGCCGAGATACCCTGTCATTCTAACAGAGCTCCCGTGGTATGAGACTACAAACCCTCTTGAAGCTGCACACACACGCGCAAAACCCTAAACCGATCTAAACCCCTCAGACCCTCAGAACCCTAACCCTGAAGGTGCTTCGTGTGCCGCCCTCCTGGCATCATCAGATCGATCTTGCCCACCTAGCGATCCGATCGAAGCCTTACAGCGACCAGGCGCACGGGGTCCCGGCTCGCGGGAAACTCATGTCTTGGCGCTGGGTTATAGGGGCTATGCCTTAACTGTTAAGGTGCAAAGGGCAACCTGATCCCGAGCTACTTTGGCACTGCACCAATATGAGCCCAGGGCCCAACGCTTGAAGCCCCATTCCGACAATACTTGGTAGAGCTGTAGTACATGGTGCTCCGAGCAGCGCTGTTGAGTACTAAAGCACCACTTGTGTCACACTCCATGCCAAGAACTGTTCCGAGCGCCCTGAATCGAAGCCCAAACAACTCTACGCCTAGCTGGTGAGTACCAAACTAAGCGCTACGATGATGTCTGCAACAATTATGTCAAAGTATTCATGACAACTCTGATCCCAAGTAGTTTTTTTTAGTACGCTCTCGTACCAATGTCGCCACCATTTCCTTGGTGATCTCCCTGTGGACATGACCTCACAGACACCTAATCCTTCCAGAACCCCTTAATTGAGGAATATCCTCAAATCATACTAGGGATCCTAATATAATTTAAGGTAGCTTCCAAAATTAAGGGGTCACGTACATTACTTAATTAGGGGGTTGGGTATATTCCTTAGTTAAGGGACTTTGGAAGGTCTGGACATGCTTCAACTGCTTAGCCCAAGGGCCTTGCCAGCTCCCTACACGAATCTCTAGCACTCAGCCCTCTACCACAAATTGTAAGAACATCCACGTCGCTATCTTCGATGAGGACGACGTCCTGCGCGTCTGCAACTAAACCCTGAACCCTAAGCCTTGAACCGTAAACCCTGAACCTCAAAGCCTACGCCCCAAACCCTGAACCCTGAATCAGGGACCCAAAAAGCACATAAGCATAATCATTTTATAGGGATATCCCTACCTTAGTGGGAATCATTATAGGGGGTTTATATGGGATATCCCTATCCTAGTTTTTGCTTAGGTGCTTTTTGGGGGCCCTGCTGAAGCCGTGAGGATGACCTGCTGCCCGTGTGCAACTGGTGTATGACTACCAACCCTTTGCTGCGGTCGAACCTGGATTCCTGCACGAACTGTGGGCCGGGCGGCCTGGGAAGGGTTTAGGGTTTAGGGGTTTAGGGTTTAGTGGTTTAGGGTTTAGGGTTTAAGGTTTTTATGGTGGGCTTCTATAAAGAGGGTTCTGTAAAAATTAGGGTTTTATGGCGGGTTTCTATAAAGAGGGTTCTGTAAAGGTACTACAGGGTTATATGAGGATTTGGGGGGTTTATTTTGGGGTCTAATTCTGGTCTGTGGTTTGAGGTTTGGGTTTTAGGGCTGCCTAGGGTGGACAGAATTTCGGAGGGACGGGCTTTTCGTACGAGGGATTTGAAATTAAGGTTCGGGTCTTGGGCTTTTGTTGAATACAGGGCATGGGGGGGTGTTCGGGTTGAAGGGCTGTTATGGTTTAGGGCTTTAGGGTGCGGTGTTGATTGGTTTTACAGTGTTAGAGCTCAGGGTTCAGGGTTTCAGGGTTTATTCAGTTGCGGAGTTGGGGGTTCGGAAAACAGGAAACTCAACATCGCGGCACTGCGGCACTGGACAGGCGTGCATGTATGGATGGATGGATGGATGGATGGATGGATGGACGGACGGACGGACGGAGGGATGGATGGATGGACGTGTTTGTCTGTTTGTTTGCTATGCTCAAAGCAAGTGTTTTCCCGTATCGCTGTGATGATGGTTCTTGGTTTTTGACCGTGACCATGACCTCTGTGGTCCTCTGATGTACACCACTAAACATATGTACATACATACATACAAACATATATGGGCAGGGGTCAAAATACCGTGTAGCGAAGCTTATACAAAACAACCTATTGGATTGCTGGGGTCTATGTTTGTAGCTGCGCCAAGAGGCGTCACGCAACTGGAGCTCCTTAATCCCCTTGTTGGCGCAAGGACAGCGCTAGCCTGGCGCTAGGGATCCGGATAGCAAGTGTTTCGTGATATGTTTAATTACGAGCTCAGCGTATGTGATAAGTCCGTACACTGTACACGTGTTACTCTTTCTCTCTAACCCTACCCCTAATTACTCCTACTCGTACTCTTAACTCCTACTTCTACGCCTGCTCCTACTCCCACTCCCAGTCCTACTGCTGCTGCTGCTGCTGCTGCTGCTGCCACTGCCACTGATATGCCACAGCAACTGCTACTGCTCCGGCTGCTGCTGCTACCAGGGTTTAAACTTCTTGCGAACATGGTGATGGTCGTCGTAATGAAATATATGATCGTGACGATCGCGACATTTGGGGTTTCCGTAACAAGGAAGATGCGCACGTTCATCGAACAAATGCAACATGTACGACAAGTACTTTCAGCACTTTGACAGCAAGTGTGGAGTCGACGCAGGGCCTGCAGAGCATAAACCAACACACCCAAAAGTATCGGTCTGAGCTCAAGGCGGCAGGAAAGAAAACGGGTCGCGACCTCATCTTCGATTTGCACGAGAAGGAGGCCAAGTACGAACACGAGTTAAGATGGTTTTCCCAGCTTGTGCGGGCCTACCAGTTTCACAAGAAGACCGCCGCCATGCAAGCAGAAGAGGCCAGAAAGCACATCTCTGAGCTCCACAACGGCGAAGCTGTGATCTGGGCAGACTGGAAGCAAAACCTTACGCTTCCAATTTGTCACACGGAGACAGGTGACCAGTTTTGGGCGCAAGCACGGGCGAAATGCTGTACAAGCACTTGCGCTTTTGGTATGATTGTGGGCCGCACTACCGAACAGTCGAATGCTCGCCTTCTTGCAGCAAGGTTGGTCAAAGAAACACAGGCTCCCCTTGGTGACTTGCAACTACTACGTTGAAAAACATGGCAAGGGAGTTGACGCCTCCTTCAGCGTCGCCAACACGTGGGTCCAGAGGTGTGCCCAGGTGGGCATAGTGTAAACCGTCTTGAACCATCGCCCTTCCCGAAACAGAGTCTGTGTCGGGGCCCTTTAGCCAAAACCCCAACCTTTCAATGACAATCGATTTAAATCAAAGCAGGTCCTTGGTACTCGCATCACCACCGTGCCAGAGCTGCCCGCGACCAGAAAAAGGATCCGCCGCCAACCGGAACTGAGCATCTGGTCAGGATGTGGGATCCGAAAAGCAAGCCGGCCACAGGTTGGTCTGCGGGAGTGGAGAACCTTCAAATCCGCGAGACGTATTGCTTGCAGGCCCAGGACATTGGCGGTAGCCGCCAGCTGGTGCGATGGACCAATCGTTTCTTCAGTTTCGGTTCTGCATGGCAATCACAGGAGTTCACGCTCACTGTGAGCAAGTACACCATCGACCAAAGCAGACCGGGACTGGCGACGTGGCCACTATGGCAACCCTCGTTGGAGCCGGGCGCTGCCCGAACGAGAGGACCGAAACGGCGTGGTGGCTCGCTTTCAGGACCTTGCCAAGCGAATTCCCGATTGCAGCCACCAGAATGTCCCTTCTTTCGAGCAAAAGCTCTCGCGCTCGGCATCTGGCCAACGCGCGGGCGAGGCAGGGAAGGAAGAGGAAGGTGGTGGAGGAGATGAAAGCTCCCACCAGCAGTTCCTCCTCCAGCTCCAGCTCGTCGAGTGACTCGAGCGAGGGTTCGTGAAAAGTCCAAAGTCTGCAGCGTGCTTCGTTAAATTATGCTTCCCTCCCAATCGTTTACTTGGGTCGGAAGCCTTTTCAGTCATCAAGATTAGCCGTGCATCAGCTTCCACAAACCACACATCAGGCTCGCGCTTGTAACACTTGAGAGATTGGCAATCGAGACATAAAAACATGGAATTCTGTAATGGTCGCATTTCTATCTTTCACAAAAGGCGTCACGCAACTACTGCCGCATCAAGGTCGACCTCAGGAACAACAATATTGAACAGCGCCCACATACATACATACACAAGTATGTGTAAATATGTATTATATTGTATTACATATATATGTATACAGATAGATGGATGGATAGATAGCTAGATAGGTATGTGGTGGTAAATCTAAACCCTAAATCCTGGAGTTTGCTGCATCGAGCCAGGCACCCCTTCATTCGGACTTTCCTCGGCTTTGACATTCTGCCGCTGGTGGAGTTCCAGCCGGAAACAGACATCGCCTTGGAGGAGGTTTGCTCCAGCTAGGGTTTTGGGGTTTAGGGTTTGAGGGTTTAGGGCTTGGGGCTTTCGGTTTAGGGCTCATGGGATGCTCAGGGCTTAGGATTTGGGCTTTGGCGTGTAGGGCAATGAGTTGCCTTAGGCCTCTACAAAAAGGTGTCCCTACACGGGTACTTTCATAAATTGTCACGCTTGTTATAAACGTCCAATAATGGTTTCAAAAAGGGTTGCATGGGGCAGTATTTAGGGCTTCAAGGGTTGAAGGTGGCGGGAGCTGCAGGGTGTTGGGGTCTTCAAAGGTTGGAAAAGGAGAGTGCGGTGGTGGGGGCTTCAGGAAGCAACATTTTTGCTAAAGATTTCTCATGTGAAGATGCTAGCAATGAAAAGACTCTACCACTACTAGCCCGAGGAAGCCTTATCGAAACCTTACACCCAACAGGCCTATGAAGCCTAGGCAAGCTCCGTCATCGCTCGTCCAGTCCCTAAACCCTCAACCCCAAACCCCAGAATCCTAAACCCCCTAAACCGTGAACCCGTAAACCCCTAGACCCCTAACACTAGAAACCCTAAGCCCCTAAACCCCCAGAACCCTAAAGCCCCGAACCTATAAACCCTTAAACCCCTAAACCTTTACACCCCAAACCCTTAAACCCCACAACCCATAAACCCCAAACCTTCAACCCCTAAAAAGCCTCTAAAGCCCCAACACCGTTCAGGCCCAGGATCTCATAGAGCAGGAGCCGCATGCCCGGAAGTCTCAAAACAGCTTCTCGGCATCTTTGAGGATGGCTTGGGTTTAGGGTTTTAATTTTAGGGCTCAGGGCCTTTAGTGTTGAGGTCCTTTGGGGCTTAGGGCCTTTAGGTTTTAGGGAGTTTGGGGCTTTCGATTTTGGGGGTTAGGGATTTAGGGATGTAGGGCTCCTTTAAGGAAGGAGTTCTATACGAGACTTCCGGGGCTTGCATACACGGCTTTGACATGGATCTGTAGAGGTTCTATCATATCAGAATTCTATCAACCAGCTCTAATACAGAGGCTTGAATAAGTACCTATACTGTTTGCGGGTTCCTTACTGTAGTTCTAGCATACTATCACCCCGAACAATATTCTAATCATTGAGGTGTCTATCCTAAACACCCCTCTATATACCCTTTACAATAATCCTTATAGACCCCTTTGAAAGGAACTCTTTAAGGAACCAGATTCTAACTATTCAGACCCCGTTATCAGGGTTCAGGGGCTTGAAAGCTTCATCCTGTGGGATACGGCTGATGAGATAAATCCTGCATTACCCCATAATCAGGAATATACCTAGGGTTTAGGGTTGAGGAAAATATTCCCATAGTCTAGGGTCATTGAGGTAATGCAGGATTTGTATCATCAACAGTATGACATTTTGGATCGTTAAAAGAAAGTTTCGGCTCAATCAGCAAAGTGCCTAGGATATACCTGGGAGTCTCCGAAAATCATGGGTACCTCACTTTGGGGGTCCTTATAATAAGCCTCCTACTATTTAGGGTGCTAGACTAGGGTCCCCTATTTTCGGAAACCCTAAGCCCTTTATAGAACCCTTCTAGATCCCTTTAAGGAACCCTAAAAGGATCCCTTTAAAGGTACCGGGTACTATACGAGGGTCCCCTAATTTTCGGAAGCCCCCCACCTGTCAGCCGGAAGCTTGGGGCTTTCTGCTTCAGGGTCGGCAAAGGCCCTGGAGAATCAGACTAGGCTTCCGGTATAGGGTTTAGGGTTTAGGGTTTAGGGGGATTCCGGTATAGGGTTTAGGGGTCTCGGTTTAGGGATTTAGGATGGTTTAGGGTTTAGGACTTTAGGGGTTTAGGATTTAGGCTGTCTGTTAGTTGCATTAGGGACGGGGAGCCGAAAGAAATACTATGACTCACTACCCCTAAACTCCAGACGCTAAATCTCTAAACCCCTAAAAGCTTAGCCCACCAATCTGGGATTGCCTGAAATCCTAAACACTGAACCCTCGACCCCGTCCCTAGCGCAGCATGATTCCTTGAACCACGAGCTGCAAGCCTCAATCTCAGCCCTGAACTCTAAACGGTGCTTTGGGGTGGTTGCATGTTGGGAGGTGAGCCCTCACAGCAATCACGCAGTTGCAGGCGCGGCAGAAAGCTTTGGCCATCCTGATTGCAGTTAGGGACCCAAAAAGCACATAAGCATAAGCCTTTTATGGGGACATCCATAATTAGGATAGGGATATCCCATATAAATCCCTTTATAAAGAAGCCCAATAAGGTGATGGGTGGCACGAAAGCACGAGGGGCGGCGCAGAAGTCATGTCCCTGAGCGAGGCGGAGCTTGGCAGGGTTCGAGTTTGTCTTAAAGGGGAAAAGGAGGGACCCTTAAGGGTCCCTTTAAAGGGACCTATAGGGATTCTGTGAGGGTATAGGGTTTAGGGTTTTTTGGTTTTGGGGGGTTTTGGGGGTTTAGGGGAAAGGAGGGACCCTTCATGGGGACCCCTACCCTATAATGGGCAATAATGGCTATACTATGGGTATATACCTAGGGGTCCTTATTAGGGGTCCCTCGGTTCAGGGCCTTGTGGCGAGTGTGGGGCCACAGGAGTGACGGTTCGGCCCATTTTCAGTGCTTTTGGTTCCGAAGTTAAGGGTACTGGGGTACTAGGGTTTCGAGGTCCACCGTCTAGGAGTGCAGGGTTTGGGGGAGAGTTTACCTGTCTAAAGCCAATTTACAATTTTATGACTGTCTGCGGAAATCCCGATCGGGCTTCGCATACCTACGTCTGGCTTCCAGCAGCACGATCGACCAGCACATCCACCAGCTCACTCCAGCAGTTACTTCGAGCACCGCTTCAGGAACCTAGAGTCTCGGGAAATCCGCAATATGAAGCAGTGAACCTGCGCAGCACAGCTAGACCCGGATCAGGGAGTTGGCACCGCACAGTCACAGCCCTAAATCGTACAAGTACAAGTCTGATCCCTGGTCCTAATTCAGCTGAGCAGGAAATCTTCTGCTTGCTTGTGTGTGTGCGCTATCTATCTATCATCTATCTCTGTCTATCTACATTTGTCTATATATCTATATATATATATATATATATGTATGTGCGCAGATGTACATGCATGCATACATACGTACACACATGCTTACACATATAATTAATGCTGTCCCAAAAGCCCTAAACCATAAGGTCCAGGACGCTAGACAACTTCCCAGACCCCCGGGAGGATCCAAAAAGTAGATCCCTTAATGGGGGTTCCTATAAAAAGTATCCTTAGTAGTATAGGGCCCCAAACTAGGGGATCTACTTTCTAGATCCTTTCGCGGGTCTGGGTTAGAGCCTATTGCGCTAGGGACCCATGCCGGGTGACGAAGCCGGGACGGATCTCTTCGTTCAGAAGATGCCGTGGCCTCAGACGTTTGTAGGGTTTTGGGGTTTAGGGGGTCTGGGGTTTATGTCAACGGTTTAGGGTTTTGGGTTTAGGGTTTTGGGTTTAGGGTTTTGGGTTTATGTTTTAGGGATTGCTTAGTTTAGGGTCGTTTTAAGGTTTTTCAGCAGTAGATCCACAGAATCCAAAGCGCTTTTTAAGGTTAGACTCGAGGGGCATTGCTACTATGATTTCAGATGCATTTTCTTATTCTGACTCCCTTTATGGCTTGAGGCCGATTCCTTAGGTAAGGGTTTGGGAGACAGAGATCTCTACATAAAGTTTAGTTCCTGTGGTCGGTTGAAGAAGGGATATGCATATGTGTGTATCTACATAGAGCTATTTAGTTGTGTGTTTATATTCACGTAGAGAGAGAACAGAAACACAGAGAGAGAGAGGGACCGCCTCAAACCCCAAGCAAAGAGAGAGATAGAGATACAAAAAATGGTTATATTGCAAGATTCTAGGTGGCACAGTGGGATGCTGCAACATTCCCCTCAAGGCCTTCTAGAGGTATCTATTGATCAGGCCCTGAAGCTACAGCCCAACACCTCGAAGACCCCCGGCTCGAAACCCCCAAAGCAGACAAAGGCTAGGGTAGAGACGGCTAAGGCTGCTAGCCCACTACCCTTTAAGATTTAGGTTAAGGTAAACCCTATAAGCCCTAAAACCCTTAAGCCCTACACCCTGAACTCTTATTAAACCCTACACCCTAAACCCTGAAACCCCTCAACTCTTATTAAACCCCTAAAGCCCTAAAGCCATACACCCTAAACCCCTAAAACCCAAACCCCTAAGCCCTACACCGTCAACCTTTCTCCCTAAAGTTCCCAGAGACTCCAGTATCCCTTTATGAAGGAGAATACCTTCAATCATATAAGGGATCCTACCATACTTTAAGGAACATTCCTTGATTAAGGGATATTGGAGTCTCTAGGTTCCCTAAACCCTAAACCCTAAGCTAAACCCTAGCGGACTTCGATTCTCCCAAGTGGTGCCCGAGAGGTAAGTGGTTGGACAGTGATGGCGAACTCCCAATTGACGGCCGCAAATGGCACTTTGCACGACCTCCGGGTCCGCCTGGTCCTCCTCCGCCTGACCCAGAGAGCCCAATACCCCTTAATTAAGGAATATAGCTTAAATCATAGTACGAAGCCCTATATCATTTAAGCCATATTCCTTAATTGAGGGGTATTGGGCTTTCTGGGGAGCTGCCCGAACAACAGCAGGCCTTCTGCGTGGTCATGTCTCCTACGTGCCGTCAGGGCCACGTAGTAAGATGTGGAGGCTGCAGTTCTCAGGCATCAGCCACACCTCGCAATCCTCGTGCCCGAGGGTGGCAGGCCAGTCCCGCCGTTTGAAGCTACCCGAGAGATCCCTTTAAGGACCCTGTTCCCTAAAGTTGTTGAGGCTCGATGCGGCGAGCTACTTCGTGCCGGGAGAGCCGTGCGGTTCTCAGACTCGGCGTGATTTTTTTGTTGGGGTTTTGGGGTTATTTTTGGGTTAAGGGTTTTAGGGTTTGAGGGTTTAGGGCTTAAGGATTTAGGGTTTAGGGCTTTAGGGGGTAAGGGGTTTAGGGTGTTAGGGTCTAGGGCTTTAGGATTTAGGGTTCAGGGTTTTTGGGGGGTAAGGGGTTTAGGGGTTTAGGGTTTAGGGTTGCAGGGTTTCAGGATTTAGGGTTAGTGTTTTAGGGGTTAAGGGGTTAAGGGGTTTTAGATTTAGGGTTTTAGGGGTTTTAGGGTTTAGGGTTTTGAAGTTTGGGGTTGCAGGGTGTTGGGGTATCAGGTTTTCGGGTTTGGGCAGCAGTACTTAGAATCGGAGTTACATAGGGTTTCTTACAAGGGCGCGAGCAACTTCAATAGAATTCTGGTCTATACCATGCTATGATGTAAAGGAAGACTACTACAAGTTATTCAGCCCTTTGTCACGGCTCAGCTTGCGCGGCATGGGTTTTAGGCATCTGACTTTTTCTGCGTTGCAGGACGTTTTGGGTTGGGAGTGGGAATTTGGAGCTGGAGGATCCTTGGGATTGAAGGTTTAGGGGTTTAGGGTTTAGGGGTTTAGGGTTCAGGGGTTTAGGGTTTAGGGTTTTAGGGTTTGTGAGTTCGCAGGCGGGGTCCGAGTTTGGGTTTGCATTTTGCAACAGTTCGTTGCTTGCAGTGAGGGAACAGGCATGTATTTCTCCTGATTCCGAAAGAATCTAGAAGGGATCCAAAAGTACTGCAACCCTAGAGACCCCCAGATTCAGAAGTTCTTCTTTGTCACTCGCTGGCTGAGAATACTTTTCTTGTCGTTTGTGGTGCTCGTTCTCCTTGATGCCTAAACCCTGAACACTGAACCCTGAACCGTTAAAGCCTACCCAAATCCCCAGCTCAAGTCTTCGAGACTTTTACAGAAACCCTATCATAGATCGTTTGGAAAAGCTAAGAAAACCTTAAACCCTAAACCCCGAAACCCCCAACGAAAAGGTACCAGCCGGTGAAAATTGACCGCGAGACCTTGGCTGATCTCAGGCCGTTTCTGCCTTGGCTGACTAGGGTTCAGAGGTTCAGGGGTGTAGGGTTCAGGGATCACCTTAACCCTGAATAACCTACCTGTTTAGGGTTCCTTATTCTGAGTTCGTTATTTAAGTCCTTACAAATGCAGCTTCTTCGGGGTTATAAGGCAGGGTTTAGGGGTTGAGGGGGGTTTAGGGATCAGGGTTTAGGGATTACGGGTTTCGGGGCATCGAAGACTTAGGGGTTCTCAGGGCACTTGAGGTTTTACAAGTCTTCCAGGGTGCATCGTTTAATTATAAGGTCTTGGGCCGTAGATGCGAGATGAGGATTCACGGCTTTAGACAATAAGGCTCTAATCGAAGCACTCCGAGCCACGGCTTAGGGTTTTAGGGTGTAGGGTTGGATGGCCTATTTTATGGTTCGGATCCCAAAGTGAAAAACTAAGGTAACCAAAACAACGACAGAGCACCCAGGCTCCCTGGAGATCTTCCTCAGAGCCATTCGCCCAAGACACGAAACCCAAAGTTGGGTGTTGTGCATTCTGTCAGGGTTTCGGGTTTAGGGGCGTCAAGAGCTCGGTCGTATCTTTGTCTTTATCCATGTCGTGAATGTCCTGCAAACCATCATGCAATTATGCCTGACCCAGATCCCCATCCAAAGCCCAACAATTTTGAAACACCCTGAGCCCCCAATCTCTGACCCGAAGCCCACAAGCCCTACATCACGGGACCCAAGAAGCCTTGCAATCCGAGTCCTCAGGAGTGTTAAGTTAAGGTACATAAAGCAAAAGCCTCTCCCTCCCTCTATCTCTCTTTCTCTCTCTCTCTGTCTCTCTCTCTCTCTCTCTCTGTCTCTTTTGATCTCTCTCGCTCTCTGTCCCTCTCTCTCGCTCTCTGTCCCTCTCTCACTCTCTCTCTCTCTCTCTCTCTCTCTCTCTCTCTCTCTCTCTCTCTCTCTCTCTCTCTCTACATATATATATATATATGTATATATACAGCTATATCCAGTTATATGCCGCTGAGTGAGGCCACCCGAAACCCACCTGAAATCCAGCGCCCTGAACCTGAGGCTCCAATTTACTAAGCAACCTGTGCACCCGACAAAAAGGCTTTAGGGATTGAGCTCCTTAAAGGGTCCTTAAAGGGTTCCTTAAAGGGATCTATAGGGCTCCTTAGAGGTTAGACGTTTTGGGATTGAGGGTTTAGGGTTTGAGTGTGAGGTCTAGGATTTAATGTTTTTGGGGGTCGAGGGTTTGAAGTGTATGGTTTCAGGTTCTCTCGCATGAAGAGAACCTGGAACAGGCCTGAGGAGGTCTACGTGGCCGACTTCCGAAAATATTCGCCGCTGCTGCCCGTGCGGTTCTTCCGGAGCATGATTCCGGAGGCTGGACGTAGTGCCCTCTTTTTTAAGGGTTCGGGTTTAGGGAAAAGGGCTTCCTGAAACAAGTACGTATCCTAATCACAGCACCAAGAATCTGCGGTCACCGTTATGCCCACGGTGCCCTAAATGCACTCACCGGATCACACACTCCGCCTCATAGGACTGTAGGATCTTAACGTATTGAGGCCAAGGGTGTAGGACCTGTAGGAGGGCCAGTGGTTCGGGGGGAGGCTTGTTATAGTAATGCAGGTTCGCAGATGCACGGGGTACATTGTCTTACGGCTTACGGTACTTAGGCCCTTCGGGTAGAAAGTGTTTGACGATTCTTGTCAGAAAGTTCGCCAGGGTTTACCGCCTGGAAGCCGAATGCTTAGTTTGCACGTAAATAGAGCGCTTTGTAAATTGTATGCGAAAGATGACTAGTGAAGACGCTCCTTTCCCAAAGCTCCGCAACAGGTTTGCCACAAAATGTGGGCCTGGGTGAACTCAGACAAGTGAGAACGTTACTTAAGCTACCAAACCCTACTTTTCTGGAGGTTCTTACTATAAACCTCAATATGGAATTTGTAGGGACCCTACAAAAAAGTAGGTTTTGGTAGGTTAAGGTATATTCTAATTATCAAGGCCCCTACAGTACCCGCACAATCATAAAGGCCCCTTAGACCCGCAGGTGTTGATTCGACTCTGCTTGACATAAACAGGCGAGTCTTGTGTCGACCCGCTTAGCCCGTCAGAAGGTGCCCTAATATAGGGGCCCAAATAATTACCTATACTGTTTTGGAGGTTCCTTACTTTAACTATAGTATAATTTGCCCCGAAACCCTATTCTAATCATTAATTGAGGCCTCTATATTACCCTACACCCCGAGTCTCTCCTCGCACGGGGGCAGCGCAGAAGTAAGTCTGTGTCGTCTGCCGGATATCGCTTCAACTGCTGCATCCCCAAGCCCTCCCCCGCTTGCCTCGCAAAGCGACATTCAAACGCAAACCCTGAACAAAGTTTAACCTCATCACTTCGGACATATCCCCTAAACCCCTCAACTCTGCAAGCCCTTGGCCCGAAATCGGAAGCCTTTGACGTTGAGGCTTTAAGTTTAAGGTTTTAATGGTACTACTAATGGTTCCGACACCCATGGCACTCCCCGAACCCTATTGGGGGTTTCCGAAAATAGGCGACCCTAATGCAGTACAGTCCTATTTATAAGGACCCCCAAATAAGGTGCCCCCAATGTTTGGCGTCAGGTCGCCATCGCGGTGTGCAACAACTGCGGGAACTTCTTCCACCAGGTCCGGGTGTGTCTTTTCAGGTGACTGGTGGGAGTTTCCGAAAATTGGGGGGGGGGCACCTTATTTTGGGGTTCTTTATAGTGAGGATCCTGCTATTTAGGGAGGGTACTATGTTAGGGTCCCCCATTTTCGGAAACTCCCTGATGGAGTTTTTCCATGGGTTGGGAACATATGGTTGCCTTGTTGTTGACAGGCTGTTAGTTGGCGTTCAGAGGGGTTGAACAGGTTTTGCAACGAGCTTTAGTCATATTATCATATTCTGGATGTGGTTTCGATAAGACTGTATTTGTTTGTTGTTTTCAGCGTTGTTGCTGACACTTCCTTATCCGTAAGAGATGGTTGTTAGTACTCCCAGGCAGTCACACAACCGGAAGGCTATCCACGTTGACAAGCAACACCAGCATAATACTACCATTATTTACTAAACTAATAGGTATATGGTTCGATCGAAATCTGAGTTCCCGTGCCGATGAAAAGCCAACAATCCCGAAGCTCAGCCCGAGGAATCTGAATCTGAGCGTGAGTATCCCAACCCTACAACCCCATGGAACATGCCTGGAACTCGACCCCAGTTATTATTGTAACAACCGAAGCCCTACTAAACCCCCCTTTAAGTCTTACAATTCCATGCCCGCAGCCCAAAGACAGTTGAAGTCCCACAGAGACCAATACTCTTCAATTACCCAACACATCTCAAATCATAGAGGTCTTAGAAGTACGAGCAAAGGAACGATCCTTCATTGAAGGGCATTCCGCGGCGGGGGCCCTTAAACGCTTAGCCCCTCCCCCTCCCCCCAAAAAGCAATACTAAGCCACTAAGCCTTAATACAGGGCAGCAATAATTGCCTGTACTATTTTGGGGGCTCCTTATTATAAGCATAGTATTTTGGCCCGAAAACCCATTCTAGGTATTATCCCAATGATAAGCCTTAAACCCTAAACCTCTAAACCCAAAGCCCTAAACCTTTGACCACCCTTATAGATCCCTTATAGTAACCCTTATAGACCCTTTAAAGGAGCCCTTCACCCCTCAACCCTGACAAGACCTGGGAGCTTTATTAAGGCCCCTATATTACTGAACCCGACTATAGATCCCTTTAAAGGCGGAGCCCTATTCTAGTCCTTAAGGCCCCCTCCCAGAGACTCCAATATCCCTTAACTAAGGAATAGTTCTTAAATTATGGTAGGATCCCTTATATGATCTAAGGTATATTCCCTACTTAAGGGATATTTGAGTCTCTGGGCTACCCTAAACCCCTAAACTCTACACCCTAAACCCTAAACCCTCCTCCCTCCTAAACCCCTAAACCCTAAACTAAACCCTGAAATCCTCAACTCTAAACCCTAAGCCCTAATCCTTAAGGCCCCTCACATCCCCGAGGAGACCTGGGAGTTAGAGTTCCTCCAGAACCGGTGTTGCCCGTACTGCGGCAGCAAGGACGGCTTCCGGGGATGTGCAAAACGGGGCCTTTTTTTTTTTGGGGGGGGGGGAGGGCGGGGGTCAGGGGGTTTATGGGTTTAGGGCTTATAGAAAAACTAAACGGTTTGGGTGCCGAAGTTTTCACCGACAGTTTTGCCAGAGTTCTTCTTTCGGAACCTGATTCCGATGTTTGACTTGGGCTGGGCTGGGGGCAAGGCCGGGGGGCTGGCAGGGCTGGATTTTGTTGGGTGCCGAATTTTTCGGGGCTGGTCTGGGACACCTTACACCCTACCTTAACCTACCAAACCCTACTTTTCTGGAGGTTCTTGTTATAAACCTCAATATGGAATTTGTAGGGACCCTGCAAAAAAGTAGGTTTTGGTAGGTTACGGTAAGCCCGAAACCCTTTTCAACGTGAACTCTGAAGCCTTCGAAGCGGTTCCATGTCTGGGGGCTCTTGGCCAACAAACTTTGTCATAGTTGGGTAGCATCTTACATCTTAATGGGTACTTCAACCCAATAAGGAATAAAAATGTACATTTTTAATCCTATCCCAACCATGAACTAGCAAAGACATGTAATGTCTGTTTGTTTCTTTCTTGAGGGTTTAGGTAGTAGGGGGTGTCCCGCACTTCAGAGGTATTGGTTTCCTTTGTGGCTGCAGGACATCGATGCAAAGCCGGCATCCGACAAAAAGAAATCCTCCCGAGCATCACTGTGATGTGCGTCCGGTCTGGCAGGTGGTGTCCAGGGTTGATCAGGGACCCTTAAAAAGCACATAAACATAAGCATCTTATGGTGATATCCCTACCTTGTTGGGCCTCTTTTTATAGGGGGGTTTATATGGGATATCCTTATCCTTATTTTTGCTCATCGGCTTTTTTGGGGCCCCAGTGGATGGCCTGGGCTTAATCTCGCAGTTCCATAAGCTTTGGGGTTTACAGGTGCGGGTGTTCAGATGTTAAGGGTTTGCGCTTAGGTTTGCGAACGGGCTCGAGAGTCTAGGATTTCGGGCCCAAGGCCACAAGGCGTGCGTGTCATTGCTTCTTGAGACTTGGGCCGACGATTCGATTGTGTGAACAATGAGCAGAGCCAACGATCCATGTAGTTATAGAGTTAGAGTTATAGCTACAGTATATGCACCGGCCTCGAACATACCACATTGGAACCGCGATGTAGGCACATGGACCCTAATCAGGACTGGATTGAAAAATAGATGTTTTCTGATGGAAGCAAAGGAAGCTTAAAGCCTTGAATCTGCTGGTCTCAGTGCGGGAGTTTCCGAAAAGAGGGCGTGCCTTATTTTGGGCCTTCTAATAAGGATCCTACTATTTAGGGTACTACATTAGGGTCCCCTATCTTCGGAAAGTCTCATGTGATGGTATGAAACTCTGAAACTGCCGGGGTTTAGGATTTAGGACACTGCTGATACCACTCCGCTGTCGTTCCACAGGGGAGGCCACCGTTTGAGCTGTTAGGCGTTGCTCAAAGGACATCCAAACCGCAGCTGTGGTGACAGCAAACATGACCTGCATCAACGCCGGTACTGCAAGGGCCGGAGTATGCAATCTCGTAAGTGCAAGTCGAACAAAGCTACACCAGCCGCACGCACACACACACACACACACATGCTTAATCTGCGTGAACATAGCAGTGAGGTGAATGGTGCATATGATGCAAGTGCTAGTTAGTATCATTGAGATCACGATAAACAGTGCCAGAAGAGGCAATAGCTTAGGGCCGCAAAGCCGGCGACCATCATCATCACCATCATCATCATCGTCACATCATCTCCAAATCAATCAACAGTGATTGTTGGAAGCAAGGTCAATCGTGCTAGCAACATGCAAAACATCAGCGCTTTGCAGACAACTGCTAGTGGCCATGCCACGAGCTGGTCCGCTGAAGCAGATCTAAAACTGCATGGGAGTTTCCGAAAATGGGGGACCCCAATATAGTACGCTAAATAGTAGGATCCTTATTATAAGGACCCCAAAATATGTACCCCTATTTTCGGAAAGTCCCATATCCATATGAGTCGCACAGTGATTAGGTCTTGATTAGATAAGCTGTGACGGACCAATTAAAGAACAGCTGCCACGACAACGAAAGCTACCCTCAACTCAACAATAGCTAGTCATTCGTCGTCAGACACCCAATGAAGCATTGATGCTGAAAGAACTCTTACGCTCGAAACAAACACCGGCGGAGGAGACTACCCCATGAGACTCCTTCCTTCACCGATGTGCTGATGGAATTCGCTTCTGCCCTGGAAAAAGACTGTGCAGCTCCGTGT